AGTACAATTAAAACGTTTTGTTGCCGTACAAGTGTCGGCCTTAGTGTTTGTATCGATAAAACACGTGTCCGTGACTTTTTTCCGAGGACCCCGGTTAATACGGACACCCCGTTAATATGGACATTTTGGCATGTCCCCTTGGTGTCCGTATTAACAGGGTTCCACTGTATTTGCAAGAATCGGCTCTTAGGATGGAGTTTCGCTCTGAAACCATATCATACTCGAAAGCTAAACGCAAGGAATTGAAAAACAGGGAAACTTATCTTCAGGGAAAACTCGATCCCCTTGATAATGAAATATGTCACGGAAACAACCACTTCAACCAACCACTGTTAGATGAATACGAAACCATCAAGATCGGTAGAACTCAAAGATGTTTACAAAAAAAAAAAGGCAAAGAAGCCATGTTCCGTTCAAAAGCCCGTTGAATTGAAAAAGGTGAGAAACCATTAAGTACTAAACTTTAATGAACACAAGATCCAACGCTACAACGAGCACATGGCGAACCTGATCGGAAAACGCGTAGATATGATGTAATAACACCTAAACGAGGCACAGACGTGCCCAGACTCTTATAGGCGAGAGTACAAATATACCACAGAAACCTACCAATTATTTTTTCATTTTCGAAAAGCGAAACGTTGAGAAAAAGGTTATTGCACAGTTAAAACTTGAGAATGGCGAGATTATTTCGGACATGAAACAAATCAACCAAGAAAGAGAATTATTTTATAGCGGTTTACTAGAAACAAAATCATCCGGCTTTCTTTCCACGAATTTCAGAGAGAACTTTTTCGCCTTTGTTGAGGACCTAGACATTCCCAAATTGTCTTTTGAGGATTAGTGTCTCTTGAATCTGACCTGACACTTGATGGGATAAAAAAACGTTTTAACATCTATTCAGAACAACAAATCCCCTGGGGAGGATGGCTTTTCCAAAGAATTTTATGAGACGTTCTTCGACCTAATTGGCACACATCTCCTTAATTCATATAATGAAGCTTTTACCAAAGGACAATTGTCAATATCTCAAAGGCGTGGCGTTATCTGTTTGATACCAAAAGACGACTCCTACCTTATTGGGCTGTCCAATTGGCGACCGCTAACTCTCTTAAACGTTGATTACAAAATCTTGGCAAAAGCAATTGGCCAGAGAATTGAGTCAAAACTGTCTTCGATTATACACTCTGATCAAACAGGCTTCATTAAAGGTAGATTCTTTGGCCAAAATGTTCGGCTTTTAAATGATATCATGGAATATACAGAGGCTAAAACACTCCCAGGCATCCTACTTTTTATTGATTTTCGTAAAGCCTTCGACACCATTGAATGGAATTTTATCCACAAGTGCATTGAATTATGCAGCTTTGGTCCAAATATTACAAAATGGATATCCATTCTTTATAATAATGTTAAAAGTAACGTGATGAATTCGGGTTTCATGACTAATTACTTCAAAGTCTCTCGAGGTGTCCGCCAAGGGTGTCCCCTGAGTCCTCTTTTGTTTGTGTTAGCGGTCGAAATGCTAGCCCTCAAAATACGCCAAA